GCTAAGTAGGTAGGCAATGGATATATAAAAATATCAACAATATTTCTTAGTTCAGTTTGAACTCTTCTAGCATGTTAGTTAAGTTTAAGTTTTTGTGGCATTTTTATTCTATAGAAAAATATGCTTTAATTTAAGACTGAATAAACAGTTAATTAATCATACTTTCTTATTGAATTCCGGTGGATTCAAATAACATCATGCGAAAATTTATCTTTCGCATACTAATTGTTGTTTTAACAAATATGAGATAGCATTTCTTTTGTGTATGTTTTACATATCATATGTGAGAATGATGTTATGCATCTTATGATGTTACAATAGTTTGTTTAACTTCATTATGCATTGTCTAAAAAAACATATACATATATATTGATGCAAACTTGATTTTTATATTTTAAAAATATTGATTGATTCGTTGTTAATATCATACAAGAAGTCGTTCAAATATAAATTGTGGAATAATGATTTATTTATCTTCTAAAGAATCTGGATGAAGGTGGTGGTGGTGTTGAGTAGTCATGATTCATAGCCCGATTATCAAAGAATATTTATTATATTAATTTTGTTCAAATGATCTAAAGTTTTTTGAACAATATATATGTATATAAATCACTAAACTAGATGATGTAGAAAAGTTTTAATAAATAATGTTTATTATTACAAAAATTTATAAATACAATCAGATAGATGAAGTTAAATGACCATGAAACAAAAACGATTGATTTAATATATTCAAAATTTATAATTAAAATATCGACAATGAACAATAAATAATATCTAAAATCTAAAATACATTACAATTGTTTAAATTGAATACAATTACATGAACATACTTGTAGTTTATTTAATCCATCAACTTATACTTATCGAAAGGAAAAATCCCATTTTTATAGAAGAAATCAAGGCTTCTCTAGAATTATTCTTAAAAATAGTTTGTACTCTCGCAATATTTAAGGCTTGCATCTTGGCATTTGTGGATAAATAGACAATTTATTTTCTCATAAAGTGAACGATAACATACTTGCTTTGCATTATATACCGATTCTATTCATTACAGAAGCTCTCGTTCAAGAAATGCTGCTTATTTTTCTTGGCTCTTTTATTTTTACTATGACATAGATTCTTCTCGATTTGGTTGACTTCTACCAACTTACTA